TAACATACACAAACATGCACGCCACACGCCCCCCCCATTTAACACGCACACACACACACACACACACACACCCACACGACACACACCACCAATATACCTACACACCGCAGGCACACACAACACACACACACACACACACACACACACACCACACACACCGCACGCGCGCACCACGCACACACACACACACACACACACACACACGCGCACCACACCAAAACACACACGCCACATATATAAACACACACGACACAAACACATACACGACCACACAACACATACATACACACACACGCACACAACACTACATACGCACACGCACACGCCCCCCCCCCTACACGCCGACACACACACAAATACACAACACACGCGCGCGCAACGCACACGCACCGAACACACATCACACGCACACACACATTACAACACACACACACACACACCACACACACACACGACAACAGCACACACAACACACACCACGCATGCACACACACACACACACACACACACACACCACACACACACACACAACACGCACCACACACACACACACAACACACACACACACACACACATTATACAACACAGCACAAACACACACACCACACACACACACACAAACAAACAGCACACACACCCACACACCACATACACCACACACACACACACACACACACACACACACACACACACACAAACACACACACCCAAACACACACACACACACCACACACACACAACACACACAACACAATACACACACACACACACACACACAAACACACACACACACACACACACACACACACACAACACACACAACACACAGCACACACGACACACACCACACACACACACACACACACACCACACGTTGTACACGATGCAAATGACAAAAATCACATGAAATCAGACGAAAATCCGCGGTTATTAAGTAAGAAGTATAATCGCCTGCGCGCACAATGCCAGTTATCTTTGAGAATAAGAATTCAGTACGATTGCGTGATGCGATTGCGTTCCTTAGTATCTAGCATATATGTGCTATTAAATCCAGTATTCTAATCTTCGCCGACCGGTTCTTGTTTAATTATCTTGTATATATATATCTATTAGTACGTTTGCTTACTTGCAGAAGGCAGACTCACAATGCGTCTGGAAATCTTAGAGTTGACGAGCTACGACGTAGCCGACAATGCTCAGCTCCTACCCAGGAGGGGAAGGAGAATCCTATACGGGCACCAGTGTGAACACAGGTGTTGGTGTAGGAGTACCGATACATACAGATACCCGTATGAACACGGGCATTCAGGTAGGAATACCAGTGCAGCCACGACCTCCTTTCCAAGGAGGGGAAGGAGGGTCCTACACAGATACCCGTGTGAATACAGGTGTTGGTGTAGGAGTACCAGTACATGCAGATACCCGTATGAACACGGGCATTCAGGTAGGAATACCAGTACAGTCACAACCTTCCTACCCAGAAGGGGAAGGAGGGTCTTATACAGATACCCGCGTAAACACAGGTTTAGGTGTAGGAGTACCAGTACATACACAACCTTCCTACCCAGGAGGAGAAGGAGGATCATACAGATACACTGGTGCAAGCACAGGTGTTGGTTTAGGAGTACCAGTACAGCCACGACTTCCTTTCCAAGGAGGGAAAGAGGGGTCCTATACAGATACCCGTGTGAACACAGGTGTTGATGTAGGAGTATCAGTACAGCCACAGCCCACCTACCCAGGAGGGGAAGGAGGGTCCTATACAGACACCCAACACACACACACACACACACACACACACACACACACACACACACACACTTGTACACGATGCAAATGACAAAATAGTTCACATGAAATCAGGACGAAATCCGCGGTTATTAAGTAAGAAGTATAATCGCTGCGCCACAATGCAGTTATCTTTGAGAATAAGAATTAGTACGATTGCGTGATGCGATTGCGTTCCTTAGTATCTAGCATTTATATGTGCTATTAACATGCCAGTATTCTAATCGTTCGCCGACCGGTTCTTGTTTAATTATCTGTTAAGAAACGAAGTACGTTTGCTTACTTGCAGAAGGAGACTCACAATGCGGTGGAAACCTAGAGGTTTGACGAGCTACGACGTAGCGACAATGCTCAGCCTTTTGGTAAGATTTTAACTGCGTCTACGGCTAGAACGTATATAAAAATACGCTTGGAAGCAGAATGTTGGTGTTTTGTCATAAAAAGATTTATTGAAGTAAATCTCTTGAAAAATATTTTGTAATTACAAAAAAATGCAAAATTTAGATGTAATAACCGGACTTATTTCTTAGTCATCTTTCGAAGATGTCATCGCTTACTTTCCAGACAATTTACAAGGGTGCGTACCGGTGCACGAATCAGTCTAGTGAACCGTATAATCGCACACTAGGAGTGGTTGAACTTGACTATTCATAATATGTTTCAATGGCTAATGCATGTATATTGTTGGTTTGGAGCCGCTGCGTGCGCTTCCCGTTACTACTCCAGTGACATGTGAAATGTTTTCTTGCTTTCAGGCTCTGGTGAGTTGCCAACGTGATGCGGTACGCCGCAAGCAGATGGGAGACAATGGGAGATCTAGCGGTGTTGGTGGCGACGTGATGCCTACCGATCCTACGCCAGAGCCTGAACCGAGTAGCAAAGCAATGGCGACGCTTTTTAATAAGTTACCGCAACCTACAATGCCGTCAATAATTGTTAGAGGAACATTCCCGACACGCATGAAAATGGCCACCATTTTCGTAGAGGATAATCCCAACATTGTAACAAGGAGGATAGGCGAAAAGGGCATCATTTTCGCTGAGACAACGACGCAAAAAGATGACATCTTTACGTTATTGCCGACTCTCAGTCCTAACCAGGAAACTAATGCCGGCACAGGTCCCGGCTCCGTAGTGGGCACCGTGTCTAATAAACCAGAGAGTACAACGTCAACAGAATCATCGAGGGGGACCGTAGCAACTGAGCCAGCAGGTGGAACGATGTCAACGTCACTAGTCAGCGAAAAACCCAAAGGAGATGGTGGCGATGTAACACCTACCGATCCTACGCCAGAACCTGAGCCGAGTAGCAAAGCAATGGCGACGCTTTTCAATAAGTTATCGCAACCAACAATGCCATCGATCGTAGTTAGAGGAACCTTCCCAACACGCATGAAAATGGCCACCATTTTCGTAGAGGATAATCCCAACATTACAACAAGGAGGATAGGCGAAAAGGGCATCATTTTTGCTGAGACAACGACGCAAAAAGATAACATCTTCACGTTATTGCCAACTCTCAGTCCTAATCAGGAAAATGTTACGGGGACGGATCCCGGCTCACTGGTGGGTGTCACGTCTAATAACCCCGAGGTTACAATGTCAACGCAGCCTTCAGGTGGAACAATGTCAACTCAACCATCTGGTGGAACAATGTCAACCCAACCATCAGGTGGAACAATGTCAACTCAACCATCAGATGGAACAATGTCAACCCAACCATCAGATGGAACAATGTCAACCCAACCATCAGGTGGAACAATGTCAACTCAACCATCTGGTGGAACAATGTCAACCCAACCATCTGGTGGAACAATGTCAACTCAACCATCAGGTGGAACAATGTCAACTCAACCATCAGATGGAACAATGTCAACCCAACCATCAAGGTGGGAAAATGGTCAACCCCAACCGATCTGTGAACAAGTGTCAATCCCAATCCCGTCAGTGAGACAGATGTCAATCCGCAACATCAGATGGAACAATTGTCAACAATCCATACTGGTGCACAATTTCAAGCCCAACCCATCTGGTGGAAAGCAATGTCAACATCAACCATAGTGGAAACGAATGTCAACTCAAACCATCAGATGGACAGCAATAGTCAACCAACCATCAGATGGAAACCATGTCAACCCAACCATCCTGTGGAACCAATGTCAACTCAAGCCATCAGGTGGAACAATGTCAACTCACCATGCATGAATGGAACAATGTCAACCAGCAACCATCAGAATGGAACCATGTATAACCCAACCATCTGGTGGCAACAATGTCAACTCAACCATCAGTGAACAATGCCCGAACTGAAACCTATCAGGTGGATACAATGTCAACCAACCGTCAGATAGAACAATCGTCAACCCAACCATCAGGCATGGACGCATGTCACAAACCTATCCTGTGGAGACAATGTTAACTCAACCATCAGGTGGAAACAATGTCAACCCAACACAACAAGTGGAACAATGTCAACTCAACCATCAGATGGAACAGATGTCAACCCCATACCGTCAGGAATGGGACAATGTGCAACCCAAGCCGGTTAAGGTGAGCAATGTCAAGCCAACCGCATCAGGTTGAAAAATCGGCAACGCCCAACCAATCAGTTGGAACAATGCAACGCCAAACCGTCAGTGGACATATGTCAACCCAACCATCGATGGAAACAATGTCGACCCAACTCATCTGGTGGAACAATTTCAACCCAACATCTGGTGGAAGCAATGTCAACTCAACCATTAGGTGGAACTAATGTCAACTCAAACATCAGATGGAGACAATGTCCAACGCCAAGCCATCAGATGGAAACATGTCAAGCCCAACCATCTGGTGGAACAATGTCAACTCCAACCATTTAGGTGAACAATGGTCAAACTCAACGCATCAGCATGTGAACAATGTCAACCCACACGCGTCAGATGGGACACATGTCACCCCAACGTCAGGTGGAACAATGTCCAACGCAACCGGTTCAGGTGAAACAATGTCCAACCCAACCATCTGGTGGAAGCAGATGCAACGCGCACACAACCGTCAGGTGGAACAATGTCAACATACCATCGATGGGAAGCAATGTCAAAACCCAACCATCAGATGGAACATGTCAACGCCAACCATCCTGGTGGAACATACAATGTCAACCAACCATCATGGTGGAAGCAATGTAACCCAACCAACAATGTGAACAATTCAACGTCAACCATCAGATTGGAACAATGTCAACCCAACCGTTCAGATGGAGACAAAAAAAAATGTCACCCAACCGCCAGGTGGACGGCAATGTCAACCCAAAGCCGTCAGGTAAACAATGGCACCCAACCATCAGTTGGAACACAGTCAACCCACACCGCAGGTTGGAAGACAATGTCAAGCCCAATCGCAATTCAGGTGGACAATGTCAACGGTCAGTCCGTCACGTGGAAGCAATGTCAACCCAACCATCTAGATGAACCATGTTTCAACTCAACCATCTGGTGGCAACAATGGCACTCAACCATCACGTGAACCCATATCACTCAACCATCAGCATAAAATTTTAGATTGGCGCATGTCAACTCAACCATCAGATGGAACTCATGTCACTTCAACCAAATCTGTAGAGACACAGTGTCAACCCAACCGTCAGGTGGAACAATGTCAACCCAACGCATTGCAGGTGGAACAATGTCAACCCCAACAATCACGTGAACATGAACCCAACCATCCAGGTGGAACACATGTCAAGCCAAACCAATCGAGGTGAAGCAATGCCAACCCAACGCATCCAGGCTGAACAATGTCCACCCGCAGCCATCAGATGGAAGCAATGTCAACCCAATAATCTGGTAAAAGACAATGTCACGTCCAACCATCTGGTTGGAACAATGTCAACGCAACCATCAGATGGAAGCAATGTCAACGCAGGCCATCAGATGGAAAATGCACCAACCATCTGGCTAGATACAATATCAACCCAAGACGGCATTCTGGTGGAACAATGTCAACGCAAGCCATCAAGCTGGAAGCAATGTAACCAGCCATCACGTGGAAGCAATGTAACGGCCAACCATCAGGTGGAACTGTATCAATGCAACCATCAGTTTTAACAATTTCAACACCACAACCAGCTCTGACAACTATTGCTAGAGCGCTGACATCCGCCGAGCAATGCCGTTAATAAATTTTGTACGCACCAATAGACATAGAAACTCAAGAATTGAATATAATGATCAGCGGCTGGCTCAGCCAGTGGTTTCTGTTTATTCGACGGCTGGAGGAGGAGGGAAGAGGAGGAGCGGGGAAGTTCAGCGAGGAGGGCTTGTTTACACTCCTTATTAAGTACCGACATATGATACCGCCTTATGGCGTCCGCCAAACCACACCTAAGTTCCTGAGTTTACAGCAGAAGAATTCCCTGTAAGATTTGGAGAACAGACCATACGGCGAGCCGACAATGCAGTATACGGATTATGATTAATTATGAATATTTTGTTGTACAGAAGGGGGGGGGGGAGGGGAGGAAGGGGGGGAATGGCTATCGTGAGGAGAGCACACTTTACCGTGATTCGCGACCAGAACACCAATTTGATAGCAGGCCCCTTCGCACAGAAACACCAATTTTGATAGTGGCCCCCCTTTCGCATAACTAGCCCACAATCAAGTATGAATATGAAAATCCACATTTTGACACAAAGAGTTGACGAAACATGTGCGTTGAAGCCTAACATTGGACGCAATTCAACCTGATTTCCGAGGCGCTGAGGCTCAGCTATTGATACGAGGAATTCCGAGAGACTTTTGCCAATAGGCCACACGCCCCACTCCCCTACGCAGGGCTGGGCAAATCGCACATGTTCAACACAATTGTGAATAATAGGGGTTATAGGAGGTCCAATATATACCTCCACAAGGCCTTTCACCCAGGCAGGGGCGAGGATGCATATGACGCGACAACCCAGTGTGAACACAGGTTTTGGTGCAAGGTTTTCCAATCCTCCACAAGCCCTCCTACCCAGACGAAGGATCGCACACACAGGCAGACCAGTGTGATACCAGGTTTTGGTGCAGGTTTCCAATCCATCCAAGACCCCTCCTACCGGAGAGATCGCCACAACGTGCCAACGCACCAGTGTGAAAACACAGGTTTTGATGCAAGGTTTCCCAATCACCACACTCCACAAGCGCTCACAGGCCACCAGTAAAAATCAAGCCTCCCCAGAGAAGGAGAATTCCTATACGGGGCACCAGTATTCGTAAAGCCAAGGTGTTGGTGTAGGAGTATCCGATAGAATACAGATCCCGTTGTGAACACAGGTGTTGGTTAGGATACCGATACAGTACAGAATTACCCGTATGAACACGGGCATTCAGGTAAAAAAATGAATAACGTATACAAGCCACGACTCCTTTCCAAGGAGGGGGAAGGAGGGTTCACTACAAGATACCGCGTGTGAATACAGGTGATTGGTGGTAGGCAGTACCTGTACATGCAGATACCCGTATGAATCACGGGCATTAGGTAGGAATACCAGTACAGTCAACAACCTTCCTACCAGAAGGGGAAGGAGGGTCTTATACAGATACCCGCGTAAACAAGGTTTAGGTGTAGGACTACCAGTACATACACAACCTTCGCTACCGAGAGGAGAAGGAGGATCATACAGATACACTGGTGCAAGCACAGGTGTTGGTTTTAGGAGTACCAGTACAGCCAGACTTCCTTTCCAAGGAGGAAAGAGGGTCCTATACAGTACCGTGTGAACACAGGTGATGTTAGAGAGTATCAGTACAGCCACAGCCCACCTACCCAGGAGGGGAAGGAGGGTCCTATACAGACACCCATGTGAACACAGGTTTTGGTGTAGAAGTACCAGTACATACACAACCTTCCCTACCCAGGAGGTGAAGGAGGATCCCATACAGATACCCGCGTGAACACAGGTTTTGGTGTAGGAGCACCAGTACAGCCACAACCTTCCTTCCCAGGAGGGGAAGGAGGATCCTATACAGATACCCGCGTGAACACAGGTTTTGGTGTAGGAGTACCAGTACAGCCACAACCTTCCTACCCAGGAGGGGAAGGGGGATCACACACATACACGGGTGCGAGCACAGGTGTTGGTGTAAGAGTACCAGTACAGCCACAACCTTCCTACCCAGGAGGGGAAGGAGTATCCTATACAGATACCCGCGTGAACACAGGTTTTGGTGTAGGAGCACCAGTACAGCCACAACCTTCCTACCCAGGAGGAGAAGGAGGATCCTATACAGATACCCGCGTGAACACAGTTTTGGTGTAGGACGCACCAGTACAAACCACCTTCTTCGCCAGGAGGGGAAGGAGGATCCTATACAGATACCGCGGTGCAACACAGGTTTTGGTGGAGGAGCACCAGTACACGCACAACCTTCCTCTCCAGAAGGGGAAGGAGGATCCTTACAGATACCCGCGTGAACACAGGTTTTTGGTGTAGGAGCACCAGTACAGCCACAACCTTCCTTCCCAGGAGGGGAAGGAGGATCCTATACAGATACCCGCGTGAACACAGGTTTTGGTGTAGGAGCACCAGTACAGCAGCCCGCAACCTTCCTTCCCAGGAAGGGAAGGAGGATACTATACAGAATACCCGCGTGAACACAGTTTTGGTGTAGGAGTACCAGTACAGCCACAACCTTCCTACCCAGGAGGGAGAAGGAAGGATCATACAGATACACGGGTGCGAGCACAGGTGTTAGTTTAGGAGTACCAGTACAGCCACAACCTACAGGCCTAAATACGGGAAATTCACATATTTTAACAAATCTGAATATAGGCGTTAGTAGTATTGGAGTTCAACCAGAATCACATCCTTCCTATCAGGCAGGTGGAGGAACGTATGCAGATACTAATGTCAACTCAGATTATAGCGTTGGAGTTGCTATACAGCCACGACCTTCTGACCGAAGAGGTAGCGGTTCATATACAGACACTGGTGTGAATACGGATTATGGAGTTGGAGTTCGAACGCAATCACAACCTTCTTACCCAGGAGGTAGCAAAACATTGGTTTCAACTAATGTGAATACAGACTTTAGTGATGTAGGTGTTCCGGTGCATCCACAACCGTCAGTCCCAGAGCAAAGAAAAGCATTTGTCGATACAAGCGTTGGCATAGATTATGGGCTACGAGATTCACGGCAGCAACAACCCGTCTACTCAAGAGATGATGGTGCGTATGCGGGCAGTAGTCTCAACACAGATTATGGAGTACGTGTATCAGAACAGACCGAACCTTCCTACCCAGGCGGTAGTAAATCACAAATAGATACTAGCTTCAACACGGATTATGGTTTAGATGTATCAGTACAGCCCCAACCTTCTTTCCAAGAAGGCAGTAAGTCACATATAGATACTAGCGTTAACACAGATTATGGTTTAGGCGTGTCAGTACAGGAGCAACCTTACCTAGGCGGAAATAGGGGCGCGTATACAGACACCAGTGTAAACCAAGGTTACGGTTTAGACCCAGAAGGAAGAGGATCATATGTTGATACCAGTATATCAGGGTATGGTGCACGGGTTCCGGTGCAGCCGAACTCTTTCCTCCAAGGAGGTGGAGGTTCATTTACGGACAGAAGCGTGAATATAGACAGGACCGCAAGTATAGGCAACGTTAAAAGCGCGAACGACGATTATGTAATACCAATCGTAGCACAGTATCCAAACAGCGGTGTCCGTGTAGCAGATGAAGTGCAACACATTGGGGTAGATGCCATCATTCCGATTGTCGCACATTACCCAAGTACGGGCGTGTCTGTATCAGGTTCCTCGGGCACTAGAGCCTTCCGTACAGACGGGCAGGAAAACATTAACAGCAAAGATTATGTCATACCGCACGTCTCACTGAACGAGCGAAGACGGGGTGGAAGTAATCTCGACCAAGCTTCCTTACAAAATTTCCAACAAGGTTGGAACAGCCCTTCTACGAGAGAAGGCCAAATTGCTTACCCACAACCTGAAGGTGATGTAAACGCTGGGTACTCTATCACTCCCGGTGTGGAGGATCGTGGATACCGTAGAACTGTGCTAGATGGTTCTGTGAACATCGAGCCTGAAACCAGTCCAGTTGCGTACGGAACAGACGTCGTTGTACCGCAAGTGTCTCATGCTCTTAACGGCGGGGTGGGAATACGTGACAGGAACTATGGCTCTCCCTCTGATGACAATACTGCAGGAACACGGGGGCGGCTACCCGTTGGAGGAAGGAGAGATATTACGAACGTTGCCACAGGTGGCCCTGTCAGAATTGATACATATGATCGCGGTCAATCGGATAGGAATTCAGCACTAACTGGTAAATCAAATCAGGCAACTCTAAATGATTTTCTGAACGCTAATGTTGGTGTTCGTGTTCAATATCCTTCCACGAAAGCGGGTACGAATCCACAGACAGTGTTCATCAACAGTGACAAGCGCCCAGGTTCTGTTCCAGACGTGTCAGCTCAAGGATTTACAATCAATGGTGGCTCATCTATAAAAGAGCAAGGTCAATCAGACCACGTAGGTGATTTATCGCCTGGTCGCGTAAGTCCAAACCGACCAGGTTCCGAAAACGGCGACCGCTTTTTCGTCCGAACTCCATTTGTTCGTCAAATCAACACCGAAACTATACAGCCATCGATATCCACAGATGTGATTGCTGGTATGCGGGGGCCAAACAGTCGTTCATCCCAAGACGAAACACGTGTGAGTATCAGTCGCGCATCCAGTCGCAGGCCTGATCAAGGCGTTAGACCAAATCAATCTATCTATTCTAACCGCGGCATAGATGAACACACTTCCAACTTCCCACCAATAAGCAAGCAGCCTGAATGGGGTCGTCGAGCGAGGACAAGAGTCAATGTGAAATTCACAAGAAATGCGACACGAGATGCGGTTACGGGATTACTGAATAATCCATATATAGGTCGCGATGCCTCGAATAACGTCCGTGTCAGTGTAACTGGGCATGTCGTAACGCCACTAGATGACCAGAATAGTAGAACTTCTCAGGAGAACTCCGTACGGGTAGACGTTACTACACCAGCGTACGAACGCTATGGACACCGCCCCACAATTCGTGCTCAGGGCACAGTACTTACACCTTTTATCACACCGGCTACGAGTCAAGGAAGAGAAGGTCTAGGAATACGGAACACATCACGTACCTATGGCTATGACTCGAATAGCGTCCGGGTCAGTGTAACCGGGAGCATGTTCACGCCATTACCTGGTGTGTTTCAAACACCTCGTATAATTTCAGTTGAGGATTCCACGCCAAAATATACTCCATATGGCGTACGTACGAAGGATGGCGATGTTTACCCATATCGAATAAATTCTGCAAGGCCCGGTGATTCTCTGTCCATACGGATAGCTTCTCACGCAGAACCAAACGTTGCGTCAAACGAGGGATCAACCGTTCAAGTAAAATCGACGTTTTCCGTGAAGACAGCCTTTTCCGACAAAGCGTCGCAAGCAAATCCCGCCGATACCTCATTCACAGAACCAGACGCGCCTGTTGGTGGTACGCGACGGAATCCATATTCAAGCCTTATCAACAATAGGAAACGCACGGGCGGCACCAGGGAGGCCTCGACACAGTCCCCGGATCGCGTCTACGGCTACCGTAGAACTGTCAGGCCTGGCTCGGATCTGACGTTAGAGACAGCTACAGCATCGACGAGACTAAATGTCTCACCAGATAACCTGCCGTCTGCTCCTGCTATAGAAGTGAGGAATGTTGGAGTAAACTACGACGATAATCTTGTCGGTGGTAAGCTAGTATTAGAAGCGTTACTCTCCTAATGCAATTTTTCATCAAATGCGTAAGCAGCTGTTCGTGTAGCATAATAATATTAGTACATAACTTGTTTACTTTCGAACAAATTGCATTGGCGCCATATTGAGACATGAATACGTCACACGTTTTGATTATGAACAAACATAGCTTCCTTTAGGTGTTGTTGCAGCTATGACACGCAATACATGACGCATACTATGACACACAAATCTTTCGTTTCCAGGTATAGCGGTAGGCTGCGATGTCACACAACGGAAAATGCATATAAGTATCAACTTTAAGCAAAGCTTTACTGGAAAGATATACTCCAAGGGTTTCTTCAAAATCGTGCCATGCAAGCAAACTTTCGAAGATGAGATCTTGGCAAATTTCAGCATCCCACTTGATGCCTGTGGCACAGAAGAAAGATCTGAGGTGAGGCTTACCACGGCGGATGACGTCAAAGAGTTATTAGACCGCGTGTGTTCGTGTGCTGTGTGTGTGTGTGTGGTGTGGTGTGTGTGTGTGTGTGTGTGTGTTGTCGTGTGTGTGTGTGGTGTGTGGTGTGTTGGGTGTGTGTGTGTGTGTGTTTGTGTGTGTGATTGTGTGTGTGTTGTGTGTGTGTGTGTGGTTGTGTGTTGTGTGTGTGTGCTGTGTTCGTGTGTGTGTGTGTGTGTGTGTTGTGTGTGTGTGTGTTTGTGTGTGTGTTGTGTGTGTGTGTTGTGTGTGTGTGTGTATGTGTGTGTGCGTTTCGCGTGCTGTGCGTGTGCGCTATGGTATGTGCGTGTGTGTTGTGTGTGTGTGTGTGTGTGTGTGTGTGTGGTGTGTGTGCGGTGTTTGGGTGGTGTTGTGTGCTGCCTGTGGCTGTGGTGTGTGTGGTTGTGTGTTGTGTGCTGTGTGTGCGTGCGTGTGTTTGGTGTGTGTGTGTGTGTGTGTGACCTGTGTGTGTGTGTGTGGTGTGTGTGCGTTGCCGGGTGTGTGTTCGTTGGCGCCTGTTGTGTGTGTGTGTGCCTGTGTGCGTGCGTGCGTTTGTGCATGAGTGCGTCTAATATAATAGTAGTATCTACAGCTCTATGATACGAATTCAGTGCGAGCAACACAACGCCAATCTCCTTAACCTATATCTAGGGATATCAACGCAGCTTTCGCGGTTCTAGTTCACTTACTTATTTTTCTTAGTTAGTTAGGTTTTTTTTCTGTTAGTTAGTTTCTTTTTTTGTAACTTTTACTTTTCTCTTTTTCAGGGAGACACTCACATATTTTCCAATACCATAGTCGTGATGACAGACAGCTTCTTTGGTGTTCTCTGGTCATCGGATCGCGCCTATACAGTTTCTTGCTCGTTTAGATCGGTAGGGGGCAGCAAACACTTAGGGTGGAGCATTACTGTCCCGTGAGTATGATACGTAGTAATCTAGTGGCAGTCAGTATAGACAAACATAGTCTCATCAGGGGGTTTAATTAAGTAGCATTGTAATCGCAATCAAAAGAAAACATTATTACGATAATGATTAAAATGATTCTATATATATTTTTATTTTAGAAAATGATTCAAAAGATTTGAATTTATTCAATTCGTCGTCGTGATTGTTATTGGTTACGTATTCGGAAACGTATTCAGACATACTTTTGAGCAAATAAAAGAACAGCGCCTTGCTTTGACAGCATGCTGGGACGCAACGCAAGAGTTCCGGTCGTGCAGCACGATATTCCGACACCAGAGGTCGCGTTTAAAGTAGTCGGCGGCCAAGATCCTCGGAACGCAATAGCTGCTGACCTGAATGTCGGCGGTTACGGAGCCCTCGTAGTTTACTATGTCCGCGACCGTAAGTAATATAGCAATTATGTTATGATATAAACTTGATTTTGAAAGATGAGACGTGGAACCTTCGGGTCAGAAAGTGGTTTGCCGAAATTTGTCGCCATCACCCCCTGACCCGGAATATAGTCTGTAATAAGTAGTAGCGCAATAATCCGCATCGTAATATAATCTTAGTATTAAGAGGAGCGTTCCTCACACGTCTAGCCGTTGTGTTGATTATATTATATTGCTATAGAAAAAACTAGTTGATTTGTGATAGCAGAGTTTCATCGCAAAAAAACCTTGGCGCTTCATAATAGCAAACACAAAAGCAAACATAACATGACATGGCGTGCCATGACATGAAATGACACGCCATGCCATAACCTGAAATGACACGGCATGCTATAACATAAAATGACACGGCATGCTATGACATGAAATGACACAAAACCTTAAGCGATTGGGATGTGATGTCCCATTTTAGGTTAGAAATCGCGTGCGTGACCTTTTTACGCGCGCATTTACCACTTTGTAGTTATAGTTACCACTATTGGTTTAGATTTCACATCGAATGCTTTCTCGCATCGTGGTTACCAATCGATTCATGTTATCAGGATTTTCTATCCGCAGACGTTCACCGCTACCGCTCTATCAGCTCAGCACGGTGACTCGCATCACTTCTAAATATGCACATATATGGACATGCACGGGCACATGCAAACACACACGCACACACGCACGCACTCACAGACGCGAACACGCACACGCACACACACACACACGCACGCACGCACGCACGCACGCACGCACGCACGCACGCACGCACGCACGCACACACACACACACACACACACACACACATGGACATGCACGAGCACATGCAAACACGAAGTTCGCACGCAACAACTTTTCTGATGTCTTGATTTTACAGCTAACTGGGACGTACTGCCTGTGAACTGTTCTGCTAAGGACGGAACAACGAGAAACCAGATCCAGCTGATCGATCACAACAGGTGACTGACTCGATTAATCGATAAATCTCTGAAATTAACGCGTGTGTCGTGGATGCGGGCGTGCGTGCGTGTTGCGTGTGCGTGTACGCGTGCGTCTGTAGTTTTCTTTGTGTGCGTGTGAGCATGAGCGTGAGCGTGTGCGTGCGTGCTTGCATGCGTGCGGGTGCACGCATGAGCGTGTTTGCGTTTGTGTGTGTGCGTGCGTGCTTGCATGCGTGTGGGTGCACGTCTGAGCGTGTTTGCGTTTGTATGTGTGCATGCGTGCTTGCATGCATGTGTGTGCGCGCGTGAGCGTGTTTGCGATTGTGAGTGTGCGTTCGTGTGCCCGCGCGTATACTTACGTGTGTGTGAATGCGTGCGTGTTCTTGTATTTGTAAGCGCACGCATGCCTGTATTTTATATATGTGTCCAAGCATTTACACATGTATTTTATTCAACAGTTGTCCAACGCAACGCAAGCTGGTTGGCAAGTTTAGAGAACTCCAGTATCCAAATGATCTAAATACGTACCAAGTCTCCATATTTGAAGTCTTCAAATTTCCAGATCAAAATAACGTGTATTTCGAATGCATGGTGAACGTGTGCCGAGGGAATTGTAAGCGGGTATGTATGCGTAATATGCTAGTCCCACCTCTACATGCTATAATCAAATCCGATATTAGGGTCCCATATACTCAGCTTTGGCCATAATGTTGTAATGCGTCAATTATGAAATCCCAACTTTTCTGCAAATGATGAGAATTCCTCATCATTAAGTGGTGGTCCATTGTCGGTTTTCGCCACTATGTCTGATACACCTTGCCAGTAAAATATGCTATCTAGTTTAGGAATTGGGGATTTCAATGTTGTACTTGTCACCAGCTAATAAATTGTTTATTTTTGTCAAATGTTTACAGGTCTCATGCGATCAATCGTCGAGGAAACGAAGAGACACCATCGCACGTCAACACTTGGCCAATATTGCTCCTGTTGAACAAGTGGCCGTGTTTCAGCAAGTGAAAGTGAAATTACAGGGCGAGAATGCTGAGCTAAGCATAGCAAAGCGTAAGCTAGTTCTCATTTAGTTCGTTCTCTTATGCTCTTATCTGTTTATGGAAAATCTCTTTGTTCTGATTTTGCTTGAAAACGCCGCGATACAAATAACGATACAAAACCACTAATATGCACGTACGAACAAGGTCCACACTCTAGTTCAACGACGCGTTACGTAAAACTTTGCTTTTTTACGTGTTTTAAACGCAAGTACTTCACAGCTGCTAAATTTATAATGAAGGTTAGCATAGTGCGCATTTGAATGATGAGGTGGCTGGATAGATTTTTGTTTACTTGCGTGTTTTATTTCCAATAGGGCCTACAAAAATGCGCAGCGACTGTGTGAACACGAGAAGCGCTGTCATCGGTGGGACGGCCATGTTGCTCAGCATCGCCGTGTCGCTCGTAGCTGCACTGATATCATACAGAAAATACAGCTTGCTCCATTACACCGAAACCAAACTGCGGCTCCCGGACCTGAGAGATGAGATGATGCAGACGCGAAACGCCATGGTGATGCCTGTACCAGCGCCACTGTTACACTTGTCCTCGAGGTGCAACCAAGAGGCGGAATGCTGATGTATACATCCTAACTATATGTTATATAAGTCTTGGCAAATTTAAACATTCCGCTTGATGCGTGTGGTAAAGAAGAATGATCTGAGGTACGGAATACGACGGTGGATGAAGTTAAATATTTATTAGACCACGCGCGCGCGCGTGTGTGTGTGTGTGTGTGTGTGTGTGTGTGTGTGTGTGTGTGTGTGTGCGTGTAAGTATTCTAGCGTGTAAAGAATTAAAAAACGATAGAAATCGGGTGTTGACGTTTTGCTATATCATTTCCATAACAAATTTTATTTGTTTAGACGCTGCGATGCGTTTTTATGCATGCGTGCGAGCTTGCGTTCGTGTGCGTGCGTGTGCGTTTTCGTGCGTTAAGAGAGCGAGAGAGCGAAAGAGAGAGAAAGATAGAGATAGAGAGAGAGAGATAGAGATAGAGAGAGAGAGGGAGAAAGAAAGAGAAAGATTGAAAGCGAGAACAGAAGGGGAACAGAAAGGGGCACGTGTGAGAGAGGATCCGGTGCTTTGTTCTTCGTACCACGAAGTGTTAACTAAAGGCTTGCTGTTTGCTATGTGATAACTCGTCCACTGGAGCGCATTCAAAGACTAATGTATCTTACTATATCTATTTATCCGCCTGTCTGTCTGTCTGTCTGTCTGTCTGTCTGTCCGTCCGTCCGTCAGTCCGTCTGTATGTATATATATATATGTCTGTCTGTATGTCTGTCTGTCCGTACATCCGTCCGTCCGTCCGTTCGTCCGTCCGTCCGTCCGTCCGTCCGTCCGTCCGTGTATATATATATATATATATATCACATTGCACTGCTCATATTTAAAATAACGATCATTATTAGTGTATGTCCTAGTTGTGCCTTCTCCTCGTATTGACCCGCTTGGGAAATTAAGATTCCAGCTCCCCCCCCACACACACACATTGTGAATAGGTACACAGTCGCGCTGAAGTGTTTTCATTCGTATTCTCGCAAATCGTAATAATCCGTAGAATCGCTGGTTAAACGACATTTTCCGCGCATCGTGTCTATTTTAATGTTATCACAATTACTACTTACTACTACCGTAAGCCTTCCGTAGAGTTCAATCAAAAACGCAAATGTTAATTGCCATAGTAGCAGGTTATGGATATAGCTGGAGTTTTATTCATTTACAAGATTTCCATATTATAAAATTATTTTATATGCTGTGAAATGCTCTGGGTATGTAATTCTACACCGAAAATTCCTACGAAATTCCCAAGATTCTATACCACGACTCGTATGTTTGTATTTTGCAAATTTATTTATGAATGGTGCTTTTAAGCACATGGCCTATATATACATTATTAGCGCTGTTATGATATGTGTGTATGTGTGAGTATATCAGTGCATATACGCGTGTGTCAACAGCTACATTCAACAACTTGTCATGATATCGTGAAATGTAAATAAAAAGCTACAGTAACCTTGGTATACATTTAAAAAATTTAATTCTTGTATACGCATCTAATTTAAACGCACGCTATGTATATGCATGCAAATTATTCAACATGAAGACAATTAACCTCAACCGTGTAAAGAAGTTTTCGGGACCCATATGACCTGCTATATGTATGTATATCACCTATGATGTGATGTAATTAACATAAGCAGGAAGCTAATTCTTCTTACATGTCACTAATGTCTTGTCGGGAACACGTGAATACTAAGATGGCTGCGAAAAATCCAGCAAGTACATAGTAAACTGCTGTTTCGATCTACTCCAACCTATCGTCAAAAAATATAACTAAAACGATAACTATGGGGGCTTCTGTGCCTAATATATGAGAACCATAATATAATAATTGGGGTATAATATGTAATTAACCCAAGGAAACATCAATAAAAATAATAAAAATAATTATCGGAAGCACTAAGACAAGCGTGCCTTCAGGCAAGTTGACGCAATTACTGTTTCCTCAGCAACAATAGCAGAGAATTGATCGTTAATACTGTTACACTACCTAATATAATTATACTAGCTAGCTACCTACCTACCTACCTACCTACCTACCTACCTACTACTAATATATTATACTTTACTATACTATACTATACTATACTATACTATACTTTACTATACTATACTATACTATACTATACTATACTATACTATACTATACTATACTATACTATACTATACTATACTATACTATACTATACTATACTATACTATACTATACTCTACTCTACTCTACTCTACTCTACTCTACTCTACTCTACTCTACTATACTCTACTATACTCTACTATACTCTACTATACTCTACTATACTCTACTATACTCTACTATACTCTACTATACTCTACTATACTCTACTATACTCTACTATACTCTACTATATTCTACTATACTCTACTATATTCTACTATACTCTACTATACTCTACTATACTCTACTATACTCTACTCTACTTTACTATACTCTACTATACTCTAATATACTCTACTATACTCTACTATACTCTACTATACTCTACTATACTCTACTATACTCTACTATACTCTACTATACTCGACTATACTCGACTATACTCTACTATACTCTACTATACTCTACTATACTCTACTATACTCTACTATACTCTACTATACTCTACTATACTCTACTATACTATACTCTACTATACTCTACTCTACTCTACTCTACTCTACTCTACTCTACTCTACTATACTCTACTCTACTCTACTCTACTCTACTCTACTCTACTCTACTCTACTCTACTCTACTCTACTCTACTCTACTCTACTCTACTCTACTCTACTCTACTCTACTCTACTCTACTCTACTCTACTCTACTCTACTCTACTCTACTCTACTCTACTCTACTCTACTNGGTAGGTAGGTAGGTAGGTAGGTAGGTAGGTAGGTAGGTAGGTAGGTAGGTAGGTAGGTAGGTAGGTAGGTAGGTAGGTAGGTAGGTAGGTAGGTAGATAGATAGGTATGCATGTAGGTAGGTGTGTAGGTTTGGATGGTTAGGTGGGTAGTTGGGTAGGTAGTTGGGTAGGTAGGTGGGTGGGTAAGTAGGTAGGTATGTAGGTAGGTAGGTATGCAGGTAGGTAGGTGTGTAAGTTTGGATGGTTGGGTGGGTAGGTGGGTAGGTAGGTGGGTGGGTAAGTAGGTAAGTAGGCTAACTATGCAAAACGTTTACCTTTGACAGACTTCGCGAGTTTCTGTGATAGAGGCGTGATCAGTGTTAAAAAAATTCATAATCGATTATTAGGATTTCACGCCACACATCATCACGTGTCATCGAACTTAAGTGAAGTTCAGTAAGTGAAGTAATCTGCCATCGAGTGTGCGGTGTGAGGATATTGCCTTGGTTAGACAGTCGCACTCCGACTGTGGCAATTCTAAAACAGTTAAATCATACGCACGCATACGAACACGCACACGCACACAGCACGCACGCACACAGCACGCACGCACTCACGCGTATACTATACAATTTTGTTATCGCTTTCACGTGGGTAGACCTACTGTGATCCAAAAGAAATATCAGTGCAAATACGTCCCTTTTTTTCAAACCCAGAAACAGCTACGTGAGTGGTTTGTGAATAACCTGAGTCAGAGTCAGCACACTTGCCGTTTCCGGAGACACAGACATGGGTGCATCTTGCTCTTCGTCGGCGGTGAAAGTAACGGAGAAGCAAAACCAGTGTCTGGTCAGCGAACAAGAGCGCAAGCTGATACGGAGAAGTTGGCGATACCTGACGAATCACTACGACCTCACGGAGCTCGGCTGCGAAGTCTTCCTCGCTATATTCGAACTGAATCCAGAGGTCAAGAAAATGTTTCCCTGCAGAGACGTAGAAGGAGAGGAGCTACTCAAGAATCCCGACTTCAAAGGACATGCATCCAGGTAGAGAGAACTGTTTTCTTGTGAGATATGGCATTGATGTTATACGAAATTCCCCCACAAACCTACACTTCAATTGTAGTAGCCGTTAATTTCTGTGGCAATATGTTTGGTACTAGAAACGGCATAGTGTAAAATTTTGTCATGATGCCTGCGAAATCAAAGTGAGTTACGAATAAGACCAGCAGAATTACCATTTTTCAGAGCTGGTAACAATGCATCTATGCAAAATCTTGAAACATTACAATCGCGTATATTTTATTTATATATATATATATTTAT